AGGGCATAAACTAGTCAAAATAGTTCTAAAGTCACTTTTTTTTTTTCGTTAATGACAACCTACTTTTTGTTAAAACAAATAAGAATGAAAGTGAAAAAGTAAAACACATGCTACAACGATATTAAAAAGTTTCAAGTAAGAAAATAAATTATGACAAATCAATTTTGTATTTCAATAATAACACAAACAACTAGCAAAGAGTGGAGTTGAAGGCTATGTTAAGGGTCTAAGCTATTACAAATTTAGAAAAATACATTGGGCTACCTATGATGGTGGGAAATGGGCTACCTAAGGCTTTCAGAGAAATTAAAGAGAAAATAAAAGTCAAGTTGCATAGTTGAAGAAATAGATGTTCGTCATAAAGTTGAAATGAGGTGTTTATTAAAATAGTCCTTTAAGCAATTCTGTCATATGCAATGAACCATTTTATGTTACCAAAAACCCTATGTAATGACATCAACAACATTATTAAAAAATACTGATGGAAATAAGGCAAATGAGGGCTTAAATGGCAGACAATATGCTTACCAAAAACAAAAAGAATGCTAGGATTTAGAGAAATGAAAAAATTCAACAAGGCTTTACTAAGTAAGCAATGATAGAGACTAAATCAATAACTTATATATTGGCTTGCCATATTTTCAAGGCAAAGTATTTTTTGCATTTTTCTTTTATGAAAGCTTGGCATTAAACACAATCCATCACAAATTTGGTGAAGTATATGGGGAGCTTGATCGATATTATAGAAAAGGGTGCGATGAAGAGTAAAAAATGACCAAAACATAAATATTTGGAAAGATAGATGGATCCCAACTTTGAGTCCTTTTATGATCTAGTCAAACAGATCAATCTTGGATAAGGACATCAAAGTAAGTAACCTTATAGACCTTGTTACAAAATAATGGTGCAAGGAGTTTATCTAAAGCAACTTGACATAAGGAAATGCATCAATTATTTGTGCTTTATCGATTAGTAAGTTGGATTCCCTTGATATAGTGGTATGGCATTATGATAACAAAAGAATTTACATAGTGAAAAGTGGATACAAGCTACTATAGGAAAATGAGAGGATGTAGAGCTCTACAGAGATATTAGATGCTTATAATAGGTTCATATAGTAGAGAATATGAAAGGCAAAGGTTCCTAGTATGGGGAAAATTATGACATGCATTATAATTTTTTTCTAATGTTTAAATTTTTATACTTAAGTTAATTTCACACAATTTGATCTTTAATATCATAAATTATTATTATTATTATTATTATTATTATTATTATTATTATTGTTATGGATGCAATTTATTTTGTTTGCACTCTTGTTTCATGTAATAAATAAATAAATAAAATAAAAAATAAAAAACATAATGATAATGATGATGATGATAATAATAATAATAATAATGTTAATAATAATAGTAATAGAAATCTCCATAGATAAGATTTTAAGGAAGTACGAATAGTGATTCCTTAAGATCTCTATATGAGAATATGTTTCTAAAAATATTACTAAAGTAATGGAATATTTAAAAAAATATTCAATACAAAATATTTTCACTCATTTCCTAAAATTATATTAAATAATGATAAAATAATATATAATTACTCTTTTAGGAATAAAATTAATATAGTGATACATGAATATTATGATTAACTATTTGTATCTCTCATAAAAGAATTAAATTAATAATTAAAAGTATAATAATAATTATTAATAATAGAAATTAAAAATTACGATTAGAATTAAATTAAATAAGAAAAGAATAAGATAAATGAAAATTTCGAGGATGAAATTCTAAGAAAATCTGAGTAGAAATTTTTAAAAAATTTTTAGATGAGAAAATTCTTCTAAAATACCACCAAAGTATCGAGGTATCTAAAAAATTTTCAATAAAAAATTTTATTTATTTTTTCCTTTTAAAAATTTTTAATTATAATTGTGAAATAATTAAAAAGATTAAAACAAAATTAAAATGAGTAATAGAAAATGTAACATAAAAAAATAATAAGTAATATATATTTTTTTCGGGTGCATATTTTACTTTATTGTTTTGCATTATATGATCTTAAGTGTAAATGAAATTTCTGATGATAGAATTTTAGGAATTTTACTAAATTTGATATTCAAATTTTAATACCTACAATTTCTTTTCCTATTCTTAAGTTGTGACCTCTTTTGTTAAAAAAAAAACTTTTATATAAAAATTAATGAATAACTTAACTTGATAACTACATGAAAAAAATAAAAAAAACTATATTTTTATATTTTACTAGTTTTTGAACATTATCTACTAAATTAATTGCAGTTTACATGTTAATATCTCTAACTTATTTTTACAAGTATTTATTCGTTCGATTCAATTAATTTTGAATTAAATGACTCAAAATTGAATTAAATTATTTTATTTTTGTTAACTGAGCCAAATTTTTTAATTTCAAAAATTAATTAATTCAGTTGGTTCGGTTAATATTTTTGATTAATTAAATAATAAAATATATTAAATTAAATTATATTTTAAATTCTTAATTTTTTATATTTAAAACAAAATAAATAAAATCATCTAATAAAAAATTTAAATACCAAAGTATTAAGTTGAAAATTTTAATAACTTAAAATGAAATGGATAGTTTCATATATTTTTAATTTTATATGTAGGTTTTACTATATTTCAATTACTTCAATTTTTAAATAAAATTAATCAAAAATAAAAAATTTTTTAAAATTAAATTTGATAACAAATCAAAATTAATTTGATGACAAATTAATTAATTGAATTAAATCGATTCGATAAATTAATTCAATTAAAATCAAATTTTAAACACTCTGCCCAATTTCATTGTAGGAGGAGATTATAGATGATGTTCTTGCTTAAATTTTTGTAAGAAAAATTCTTTTTACCTAAAAAAAGAAAAAAAGTGCTGTTGCTTTACTGACCTAATTACTGTATCCATTTTGAATTTGTCCTTGGATAAAAAATATTGTGAAATATATATATATAAACAACATATTCTCATGTTAAGTTATTGGCAGAAGTTCCAGAAGTTTCTAGAAAACATGGATACTCAACTTATTAACAATATAATTATCCCTGAATAATTATATATTGTAACTCATAAATAAACCCAAAAAATAGAAAAAAGGTTGCAATATACTGCAACACATTAAATTTGTGATTCCATAGTTTGTCGTTATTTTCCCTTTGAAATTTCGAAACTCTATCCTAATCCTTTCTTATTGCTAAATTCCAACTAGAAGTTTCCATGACTTTGGTGGATCAGTTGGTCCCATGATTCAAATTTTTAAAATGTTGATCATGGATTTTAATTTAAATGATTAATCAATTTCTTTTAAAAAATTAAATTTCATTAAGATTAAATTTTGATTTTCAACACTTGTGAGCTTTGTTTATTTATTTATTTTAAAATTTTGATGTCTTTTTTATAAAAAAAAAATTAAATTCGACTCAAGTAAATTTTTTAATTTATATTTATTATTTATTGTTTTCTAAATTGTTCAAATATTAATGATTTTCACGAAATTTGAAAAAAATGATTTTAATGTACTTAATATTAAAATTAAAATATTACGATTTTAGTATTAAAAAATAAAAAATCATTTTAAAATATAAAAAATAAGAGTTTTAGATATTAAAAAAATAATTTTGAGACATTAAAAAAACAAAAAAATTGAAATAAAAATATTTAATTATGTAAAAAAAAACTTATACTAATATATTAAATATATTTAAATTTTAAAATTAAATAATTATTTTTAATAGAAATAATATTTCAAATCTAAATTTAATTATGTCCAAACACATAAGTTTGACCCATAATCCAACCCATGAACACGTGTATTTCCGCCATAAAATTGAAGAATTATATTCAACTAAGATCCATTCGCTTTTTTGTTTTTTTTTTATTTGTTTGCTTGAAATTTGAAAACTTGAGCCCATTATTTTCCTGGAACCATCGAATTGAAAAAAAGGCCCCTCCTTCATGCCCTGATTGAAGACTTTAAATCTAGAAGCAACTTCCTCCTTCTCCTTTCGACCGTGATTGAAGACTTTTAAATCTATAAGTCATTTGTACTACATTTCTTACAGTCGTGATAAAAAAAAAAAATGCTGCATTTTAGTACCTACCATAAATTGGTAAAAATAGATGAAATTAATAATTAATAACAACATAACCTTTGACTTGAGTATAACTAAAATCGTATACCAACATTAATCATTGAAAGCCAAATATTATAGTATTCTTTTTTTTAAAATTTTTTTATATAAAGTATATCTCAATTTGAAAATAAAAAAATGGATTGCATGTGATAGAATTTAAACTCTAAATTCTTAAATGTTTTTAAAATAATTGCATGAATTAATTAAATTAATTATGATTTTTTATTTGTAATTTTAAAAGGAAAATAATGGTAAAACTTTTCTCTTCAGATTCATTTAATTTAATATGCCTATTCTAAGAGGCAGATAATGCTGAACTACTAAATCCAAAGCCTCCTTATTAAATTACTTGTAAAAATATTATTTATGAATAAAATTTCCTTAATAATTAATAAGTTTTAATTCCTTAAAAAAAATCTTAATTAAACTTCATAAAAATAAACAAGCAACAAAGAAAGGAAAATGGAATTATACTAGTTAATTTTATAATATTTTAATTTATGAATTTTTTGGAATAATTTTATGATTTTATTTAAATTTATTTAATTAATCCAATTCTAAATTTTAAAAATAAAAAATTAAATTAATATAATATACCAATTAAATTTTGAATTCAAATATAACAAAAAGTATATTATTCACTTAGAAAAAAAAAATTGAAGCAGGGATTTTTAGGAAAAAGGGTTTGCGTGGGAATGAAATCATTCCAAAACCCTATCCCTCTGGTCTGAAAAAAGTGCACCAAACAGAAAAGAAAAATTTTATGATAATAGCATCACAGCATGTTACCCAAATTCTTTTTTAAAAATATGATTGCACGAAAATTTTTTTGTTTATTTTTTTGAGATGTTTTAAAATTATATTTTATTTATTTTTTTAAATATTTAAAATTTTTATTTTTATATTTTAAAATTATTTTATTTTTTAATATTAAAAATCATAAAATTTTAATTTTATAAAAAAATTTGAATTTTGGTATTAAATACATCTAAATTAAAATTTTTTAAACTCAATAAAAATTAATTTTAAAATAAAAAAAGTAATAATCATACTGTAACGTGGCTCCAGTGGCATTCAAATTCAGCCAAAGTAGTTGGAAAAAAGCAAAAGAAACATCAAACAAGTCTACCTTTTCGCCTCATTTAACACCCTTAAACTGATTGCAATAATACCAAATTCTCCTTTTTTTTTTTAATTTGAGTAGTCCTCACCTTCTAGAAACAGAAATATGAAAAAAAAAAAAAAAAAACCTTTTTTTTTATTTTTTTATAATTTTCTCCCATTACTATCCAAGAACCTTCTTCGCTCGATGGCGTGAGGAGCTGCCAAAGTCCGGGACTTTTCATTCTTCCTGTTCAAATAAAAAAAGAAAATTTGGGTTTGGTTTTTTCAAATGAAATGAAACATATTTGATTCAGTCATCTTTCCTCGTCGCCACCCCATTAAGACTCTTCCTCAGAGCTTTTTTCTTGCAAAAGACGTCCTCTATTTTTTTTTTTTTTTTAATTTTTAACAAAGCAGGCCGTAGCAGCCTCTGTGGAAATGGGAACGTCCTCATTTTTATTTCAATGCCTTTGACTTTGGACATTTCCATCTTTCAAAAACGCCATTCCAACAACAACAACAGAATGGAAAACCCTCCAACCCCAAGCTCTATAATTAACACATCTCCTTTTCATTACGCAGATACTCTGTTATCCCTTTCAATGTCTTGTTCTTAAAGCTACTTGCTTTTAGATTATATACCGACGATCATAAACAACAGGTTCTTTCATTCTTTCTCGCTTCTTTGTATTTGTATTTGTATTTGTACCATAGTTTTATATGTATACATACTTCTTTTTAATTTGTAAATTATTTTGTAGTACTAGGTGTGGCTTTTCGAATTCTGGGTTGTTTTTTGTTTCTTAATATCTGTTGCTGAAGTTTGGTTTTTTAGCAAATTTGGGTGAAATCACAATCTGGGTATTTCTTGAATTTTGTTGATTTGTTAACTTTTGAGCTGTTGGAGATGTCTTTGATCCATAGATCATAGCCTCAAAAGTGGTTCCTGTAGATTTTGTTACTGTATTTTATATTCCTCTGATCTAAGAGAAGAAAGTTGAAGGGGATCCTGGATTTGTTTTGGGGATGGATTCAAAAATCCCAGTTGAGAATTTGTTTAGTATTGAACCCGTTCTAAGTTCCTCGTCAAGAAGGAGCATTTCTACTCATTCCAAAGCTTCGAGTGGGAATTCCATTAGGGAAGTGAATTTTAGTGATTTGGGGTCAAAACCTGTAAGATATGGATCTCATGGTGCTGAGTCAGAGACATATAGCATGTCACAGAAAGAGATCAATGATGAAGATGCTAGGTTGGTACAAATAAATGATCCTGTCAAGACAAATGAGAGGTTTGAGTTTGCTGGGAATTCCATTCGGACTGGAAAGTACTCAATCTTAACATTTTTGCCTAGGAACTTGTTTGAGCAGTTTCACAGAGTTGCCTATATATACTTCCTTGTGATTGCCGTGCTTAATCAGCTGCCTCAGCTTGCGGTTTTTGGCCGTGGAGCTTCCATTATGCCATTGGCAATTGTCCTTCTGGTTACAGCAGTTAAAGATGCATATGAGGACTACAGGCGCCATAGGTCGGACACGATTGAGAATAATAGGCTAGCATCAGTTTTGGTAAATGACCACTTTCAACAAAAGAAATGGAAGAACATTCAGGTTGGTGAGATAATCAAGATTCATGCAAATGAAACTATTCCTTGTGATATGGTTCTGCTCTCAACTAGTGATCCGACTGGGGTTGCATACGTGCAGACTATTAATTTGGATGGAGAGTCCAATTTGAAGACACGATATGCAAAACAGGAGACCGTTCTAAAGATTACTGAAAAGGAGAAGATTGCTGGGTTGATTAAGTGTGAGAAACCCAACAGGAACATATATGGGTTTCAGGCTAACATGGAAATTGATGGGAAACGGGTGTCGCTTGGTCCCTCCAATATTATACTTCGTGGCTGTGAGCTCAAAAATACTGCTTGGGCAGTTGGGGTTGCCGTCTATGCTGGCCGTGAGACCAAAGTGATGCTTAACAGCTCAGGAGCCCCATCTAAGAGGAGCCGGCTTGAGACTCATATGAACTCGGAGATCATCTTCCTCTCACTGTTTCTTATTGCTCTGTGTACAGTTGTCTCTGTCTGTGCTGCTGTTTGGTTGAGGCGCCACAGAGATGAGTTGGACTACTTGCCCTTTTACAGAAGAAAGGACTTCTCTGAGGCAGAAGAAGAAAATTATAATTATTATGGATGGGGATTGGAAATATTTTTCACATTCCTTATGTCGGTAATTGTGTTCCAGATCATGATCCCCATCTCGTTGTATATTTCCATGGAGCTAGTCCGGGTTGGTCAGGCTTACTTCATGATTCGAGATACCCAAATGTATGATGAATCTTCAGATTCAAGATTTCAGTGTCGGGCTTTGAATATTAATGAGGACCTAGGGCAAATAAAATATGTTTTCTCTGACAAAACTGGTACACTTACTGAGAACAAAATGGAATTTCAGTGTGCCAGCATTTGGGGGGTAGATTACAGTGGTGGAAAGGCCACTTCACAAGATCAGGAAGATGGTTACTTTGTCGAAGGTAAACAATAAATATATTTTTACTACTTCTGTGTTAGAAAGGAATTTTTTTGAGGTTTCTGTAGCAATTTTCTGAATTAACTTTTCCTCTTTTTTTGAATCAGTGGATGGGAAGGTTTTGAGGCCTAAGATGAAGGTAAAGACTGACCCCGAGCTTCTACAAATTGCAAAGAATGGAAAAGAGACAAAAGATGGCTGTCATGTCCATGATTTCTTCCTTGCACTAGCAGCTTGCAATACAATTGTACCTCTAATCCTTGATACGCCTGATCCTATTGTGAAGTTGATAGATTACCAAGGGGAGTCTCCAGATGAACAGGCATTGGTCTATGCTGCTGCATCATATGGATTTATGCTGATAGAAAGAACCTCTGGCCATGTTGTTATTGACATTCAAGGAGTTAGGCAAAGGTAATCTGAAGTGCTGACTTCTATCTTCTTGAATTCATTTACACCATTTCTGTTATATTGTTATATTATGATGACCTCCACCTGCATTAGTACTAGTATTGCTACTAAATATGAGTTTTTGGTGTTAGTATTTAGTATAAATACTTCGGTGGGGTGCTTCAATTGTTATAGGAACTTTTAGAGCATTAAATTTTGTGGAACATATTACCAAAAGGTAGATATGTGAGTTTCCTTTTTTAGGTAATCAATAATATATATATATATATATATATGAGTTTCGTTTTGGAAGTTTCATCTAGTACTTTGCACCAAAAGAATGATGGTTTGAACTAAATTCTTAACCTGTACAAGTGAAAATGAGTTGTATTTTTCATCACACAATTATAGTTTTATATTATTGGAGGTTATCAGCATCATTTTATGTTACAGTCTTTGTATATTTACCTACTAATAAGGTTGGGGAAAAATCTGTTGAGACCTGAGACATTCAGAGGTTAAGATAATGTTAGTTTAAAGAATTAACATTTAAATTTCGTTTGCTTTGGAAGAAGAACAGAAAAAAAAGGGGGGGGGGGGGGAAGAGTTGCTAATCTAACTTCATTACTATGATAATACCTATTAAAGATGTGCCGATAATTGTGCCGGTGTCATACTCCTGGACTTTAATTATATTAATTTTTCGTTATTGAATAACAATGTTTTGGGCCATGCAGGTTCAATGTTTTGGGTTTACACGAGTTTGATAGTGATCGGAAGCGGATGTCTGTTATATTGGGGTTCCCTGACCAATCTGTAAAAGTGTTTGTAAAAGGTGCTGACACATCAATGTTTAGTGTCATGGACAGATCCATGAATATAAATGTAAAACGCATAACTGAAGCCCATCTTTATTCTTACTCCTCATTGGGCTTGAGAACACTTGTGGTTGGAATGAGAGAATTGAGTACTTCAGAATTTGACGATTGGCACTCTGCATTTGAGGCAGCAAGCACTGCTCTAATGGGTAGAGCCAGTTTGCTTCGGAAGGTTGCAAGCAATATAGAAAACAATCTCTGCATACTGGGTGCCTCTGGTATTGAAGATAAACTGCAACAAGGAGTGCCAGAAGCGATTGAGTCTCTTAGAACAGCAGGGATCAAAGTATGGGTGTTGACTGGGGACAAGCAAGAAACTGCTATATCAATTGGGTACTCCTCGAAGCTCTTGACGAGTAAAATGACGCAAATTATAATTAACAGCAACTCTATGGAGTCATGCAGAAAGAGTTTAGAAGATGCCATCATCATGTCTAAGAAACTCACTACTATATCAGGCAATATAAATAATACTGGAGGAACTTTAGGAACTGTTTTAACTCCAGTAGCCTTGATTATTGATGGTACCAGCCTTGTATATATTCTTGACAGTGAACTTGAAGAAAGGGTAAAGAGTTGTAGACTTGCTTTAGATTTTTGTTTTCTCTTTCTGATATCCTGCATGCTGATGTGACTTACTTTTTCATCTTTGCTTGCAGCTCTTCCAGTTAGCCTGTAATTGTTCTGTGGTTTTGTGTTGTCGGGTGGCCCCGTTACAAAAAGCTGGAATCGTTTCCCTTGTAAAGAAAAGGACTGTGGATATGACACTTGCCATTGGGGATGGTAATCATCATTCTCTTGATTTTCTAATCACCATCTTATGATCAATAAAGAGAAAAAGTGTAATATTGTAAAATTTTATCTGCTTTCTTTTTGGCCGTTTAGGCTGATTTAAGAAATAATACTGGATGCTTGACAGGTGCTAATGATGTTTCAATGATCCAAATGGCGGACGTGGGAGTCGGCATTAGTGGCCAAGAGGGTAGGCAAGCTGTAATGGCATCAGATTTTGCAATGGGGCAGTTCAGATTCTTAGTTACTCTTTTGTTGGTGCATGGCCACTGGAATTACCAGCGGATGGGCTACATGATACTATACAATTTTTACAGGAATGCAGTGTTTGTCCTTGTTTTATTTTGGTGAGTTATTTTTAGATAGGGTGCTTGTTCAAATCTATAATTTATTCATTTTTTTTACAAGGAAGGCCATAGCCTGGGAATCCTAGACCTATTGGATGTCACCTTTTAAAAGTGGTTGCATGAACCAACTGGACTAAGCCTCAGATTCATCTATAACTTATTCTGGTACTTGTACTAAATGCAGATATTTAACCTACATTACATGGTTCAGCATGTTGGTATCTAAGCAAACCTTGGTTTTCACCTAACAGGGACTGTATGTTTTGGTACTTACTCAATGGGCCATAAAAGGGAAGGGGGGGGTGGGGGGGGTGTTTGATGCTATATAATGTCATCATTGCATGTTTAGAAATATATCTGATTGATCTTTTGCTTGTATACCCTCTTGTATTAGAGATTTAGAGTGGCCTACCTCCCCAAAACATAAAAAAGTGAAATTCTTCTTTTGCTCATTTAGGATAAAAATATAAATGAATTTTGATCCCAGTTGGTTCAAAATAATTATTTACTCTTAATTCAGAATAGAAGTTAAATCACATTTTGGCGACTTAAAATAACATTTTTTCTGTGGATGAGTAATGTTAACTTCACTATATTCTTTTGCAGGTATGTGCTCTTTACGTGTTTCACTTTGACCACTGCAATCACTGAGTGGAGCAGTGTGTTGTATTCTGTAATCTACACATCAGTGCCTACTATAGTTGTTGGTATTCTTGACAAGGACCTAAATAGAAGAACTCTTTTAAAGTATCCTCAGCTCTATGGGGCTGGGCACAGACAAGAATGCTACAACAAGAGACTTTTTTGGATAACAATGATTGATACTTTCTGGCAAAGTGCAGTTGCCTTTTTTATTCCTCTTCTTGCATACTGGGGCGGCACCATTGATGCATCAAGTATAGGAGATCTTTGGACCCTTGCAGTTGTTATATTGGTTAATTTACACTTGGCCATGGATGTCATCCGCTGGAATTGGATAACTCACGTAGCCATTTGGGGATCTATAATTGCAACTTTTATTTGTGTCATCATTATTGATGCTATACCAACTTTAGTTGGTTACTGGTAAGCCCTTTTATCATCAGATTTATTTCTTTAGTTTTATTTACTTTAATTGAGCATGTAGGTTTCAGTTGAACTTGATGAAGCAGGATGAGGTAATTTTTTTTAACAGTTCCCCCATAACATACCTTGAAACATTTGGTTTTTTTCCTTACCTGGTAACACAAAAAAATTTTGTTTTACATACATAAATATATATATATATATATATATGTATATGTATGTATAGAGGTGGCAAATAGGTGTTGAGCGAGTTTGGGTTAGACCAACTTTGGATTTGAATAATTTTAGATTCAGATTTCTTCAGGTTCTGGTTGTCTCAGGTTCTTTGGGTTTATTTGGGTTCCGGTCTTTTGACTTTTTATTCATGTTGGATTAGACTATGTTCAGGCTCCTTTGGGTGGGTTTTGGGATTCAGGTTTATTTTGCTGCCTCTATATAACATGTAGATATGCACTTGTGTGTGTACATAAGAATATGCATAGTTAAGCTAAAATAACAAAAATAAAAAATAAAAAACCCTAAACCTTATCACTTTATTTAGATAAGCTTCTATGCTTTTATTGCACCTAAATAAACCCTTAATCTTTAATTTTCGTCCAAATAATCCCTTAACCTTTCATTTGTACCTAAATTAACCCATAACATAAGTCAATCTTTCGATTAAAATAAGAGCTTATTTAAATACAAATCAAAGGAGAAGGATTTATTTAGGTACAATAAAAGTATGGGGCCTTATTTAAGAAAAATGAAATAATTTAGGGGTTTTTTTAGTATTTTTAACCTATAAATATGCATGTATGCATGGTCATCCCCAAGTCTCGGAGTTTCTGTGTACTCATCTGCCACCCTGAGGTTAGGACATCTCAATTATGTCCTGTTGACCTTAGGAATATTGCAATAATTGTTTATGGTAAAAATGCCCTTGATTGATTCTATGCTACACTGATAGTGAGTAAATTTAGTAAATGATTCATTAAAATTTGTAATTTTCATTGTATATATTTTCTAACCCTTGCCAACTGATGTGATTTGACAGGGCCATCTTTGAAATAGTGAAGACTGGAAAGTTTTGGTTGTGTTTGCTTGCCATCATTGTAGCTGCGCTAATTCCTCGTTTTGTTGTGAAGGTTCTTTATCAGTTATACACACCTTGCGATGTTCAGATTGCAAGGGAAGCTGAAAAGTTTCGGACTTTGAGTGAGTCTGCAGCTGTAGAAATAGAAATGAATCCAATCTTGGACCCTCCAAGGAGATGAAAAAGGTGATTTTGTTCCTTGTCTACCCCTATTTCCTTTTGTAAAGTATCATATGCTTTAGGCCTCTGCAGAGTATTATTCTTCTTTGCCGGATTATCATTGTTTGCTATCCAAAGGATAGAATTAGTACACCATAAGTTTGTAGTTTAAGTTGTTATATCTTATAAAATTACTTAATGTAAATTAGCATGGTTTACAACAAGGAGAACCATACAAAAAAATTTCAATGAATACAGTTTTATTGCCACTTTTTGTTGTCCATTCTTGATTGAATGAATTTGCATTTATAACTAGAGCATAAGGGGCTGTTTAGATTTGCTTTAATTCTAAATCATTTTTGAAAGAACTACTAATATCAGTTGTTGTTTTTGGTACAAAGAATATCATGGCTTAGGAATAGAGGAAGGATTGCAGGTGCTGGGATTTAAATGCCAGACTTTCTGAAAGCTACCTCTTAAAAGTGGCTGCAAAGTTTTGGATTCACTAATTGGTTCGTTTAGTACAAGAGATGAGTATGACTTAGACTGTTAACTTGTGATCAATGATGTTAGTATCACATTGGAATTACCAATGATGCCAGATATCTCCTTGACACCATCCAAACTGAGAAAACTTAGTTCAGTTCATTCAATCTCATCAAGTTGTTGCATTTCTTGCGGGACAAAAGAGATCCTGATCAGCTGTCATTCTTCTCAATATCATTGAGTTGGATGAGTAGAAATCATCTTGCTGTCTAAAATCTTTAAACACCAACCTTGAAACTGGAATGGGGGGCAATTATCAAAATATAGAGTAAGATCTACATCTCTGATTATGTCAAACAAGTAACAGCAACATGCATGGCCAAGATCTTGGAGTTAGCTGCAAGTTCAAATGAAAACATGAAGGGGTCAAAGCTTTGTGATTGTAGTAGGAAACCAGAGAAGCCAAGGCAAATGAATGAAAATATGCATGGCTGACATTTCAAGCTCCTGATTTAGTCATTTTTGGTTTTTAGTTCCTGTTCTATTAGTTCAACGAAATAAATAATAATTTTTTTATTATTATTTGAGAAAGGAAGCTTCGAATCTTACTCTTTTGAGTATAGGATCTTGCCCCAATTACTAAGTCAAATGCTCGGATATAATATAATTTTTATTTCCAATGAATGGTTTTTTAATGTAATCCCATAGATCCATCAACGAGGCATAGTTATGATGATAAAACTAGTTTTCCTGACACGTGCTTTGCACGTGATTCTTAACTAAATTATAATTATAATATAATTAAATAATTTTAGTATTTGTTTTGAAATTGAAATAATCACCATAATATCAAATTAAATTGAAAATATAAGTTTAAATTTAAAAGTAAATAAATATAACAAAAATTTTAAAGTGAATTAATAAAAATAAATATCTAATTTTTCTCTATGTTGACTTTTTAATTTAGAAGTTTTTTTTTTCCCCCAAATATTTTAGTGTTACCTAATCATCTTCATTAATTTTTGTATATATTTTTTAAGTTTTTAACTCTAGAGGATCATCTTTTAGATTATCACAATTAAACTAGATTTTGTGTTTTACTTCTTTCTTACTTTATATTTTTTCTCGAGATTTCTTTTTAGTTTTTCTAATGATGAATTTTTTATTTTCATTTTTATGAATTTATAAGATAATTAATCATTGTTGAATTCATTCAAGCTTTTACTTTTTGTCTATTTGCTATTGAAAATTTAAATTCTTTATTTTGATTTAAAATCATATTATCATAAATTTTTTGTTACTTGAAATAAAATAAATATATAATATTTTCTTTTTCATTTCTGACTTATTATTATTATTATTATTATTATTATTGTAGACACCTTATTTAGTTCGGACTCAAGCCCATTGGCCTTGATCCAATAGGTTTGGGTCTAAGTCCATTGGACTCGGTTTAGGATCCAATTAGCTGGCCCTAATGAGTTTTTATTTTTATTTTTATTATTTAATATATATTTTTATTTTTATTTTTATTATTTATCTGCTTTTATTTATTATTATTATTATTATTTATCTATTTCTTTTATTTATCTAATTATTTTTTTCTTTGTTATCTATTAATATATTTATCTTTTTATTTTGACTAATTTTCGGTTAAGATTAGGATAAAAAAAATTGAAATGAATTTGATTGTGATTTGAGAATTGACAGAGTTGGGATGAGATTCAAAGATTGAATCCAAATTTCAGAAAAAGTTGGGATATAAATAGGTGCTAGAAGAACAGAAGAAACACACATAAAACACAGACAGAGTGAAGAAATAGAAGCTTAAAAGGGTTTTGGTGCGTTAGAATAGCTTTAGGAATCTGTGGGAAATTTTTGGAGAATTTTTTACGAATTTTTTTCTAAAAATTTTTGAAAAATTTTCAGATTTCGATTGAATTTTTCGACAAAGATTGAATTTTTCGACGACTATTTCGGCCAAGTTTGAATTTTCTGACCAACTTTCTCGTTTCCGGCAACAATTTTCAAAAATCGATCAGTTTTTTGACAAAAAATCTAGATTTCGACGAAAATTTTCAGAATCCGACAGGCATTCAACCGGAGTTCTTCGGGTTTTAAAGAGAAGGGAGAAAGAGAAAGGAAAAAGAGTGAGGGTTCTGCTGAAAAAACAAAGGAATTAGCCTTTTATACTCTCCCCAAAATGATGTCGTTTTTACGTTAGTAATCCAGAGGATCCGCACGTTTTGCCAAGATCCAACCTGACCCGAGCGCCAACCCGCTTTGACCCGCGTGCGACCCGTGTCTCCGAGTCGTTAGCCAAGCTGAGTCGACACCCCAAACTGCATCTCCGAGCCGTTTTTCTTCCTCAAGCCAAGCCGAGCTGACCGTTTCCAGTTTTTTTTTCATTTATATATATATATATTTATTATTATTATTTATTGATTAGATTAGATTTGTTTAATATTTTTTATTTATTTATTTTCTTTTATTTTTATTTTCATTTTTATTTTTATTTTTTTAATTTTATTATTTTATTTTCTTTAAATAAAATTCAAAAAAAATATTTTTGAGGAAAAGTTGAAAGTATCAATTTTCCTTGAAAATAAGCTTTCCAAAAAAAATATTTTTTTGGGAAAAGTTGAAAATATCAATTTTTCTTAAAAATAAATTTTCAAAAAAATGAATTTTTGAGGAAAAGTTGAAAGTATCAATTTTCTTCGAAATTAAAAATATTTTAGGAAAAAGTTGAAAGTATCAATTTTTCTTACACAAAAGCAATCATTTTTTCTTTCTTTTTATTTTCTTGAATTTTTTTTAATGTTAAATAATTCGACAATGGAGCCTCTGCAAGTGAAATAGTAGTTTTCTTGCATACTCTTGAGGTGAGAGAATTTTTTTAATTTTCTGCTAAAAGTATTAGAGTCAATTGAGAATAATTTTCAATAATTAATTACTTGATAAATTTTTAAGGCTTATTGGATAACACAAAATTAAGCTAGTACCATCTTTCGATGGGCGTTGTGAGGGTATTATAACCTTTTTCACATGTAACCGAACTCCAGAATCCTATTCTAATTAGTAGACCTGAACCTATTCTTTTAGGGACCTTTAAACTTAAGTGTTCCCTGAAAGGATAGATTCTTTAGGTGACCAATCGCACTTAGATAAAAAAGATTGATGACGACTCCTTAAGTCAATGTCTAGCGATAGATTTTTGGATCTAGATGTTATGACAGCTTGACGACTCCACTGGAGACGTTTGAGGGTCAGGCCAATAAATAAATTCGTGTTATCCAAAAGCCTAATAAAATTTAACCTTTTTGTATATATTTTATTTATTCATTCATGTTTATTTACTTTATAAATTATGACATTTATATGCATATGCATAACATAAGCTCTATACCCGAGCTCCGTCCTTCTAAGAGGGAGTAAAGTACCTATTACTTTCGTGAGGTCTAATGCCTCCGTAGTGGCTAGATACTCCCACTCAAATTGAACCTTTTTCGCTTGTAGCCTGTAATAGGTGAGGATTAGGGTGCCTTACTAGTCTGTGATGGATAAGGATGTAAGGAGCAATTTGAGAACCTTTAGACTTTAGCTTGAACTACATACAAGTGAACCTTAGAAGTGCCTAACCCTAAGATAGAGCCCTTTTTTACCCAATAATAGATATACCCTGAAACTAGGACACAAAAAGGGTATTTATCTAATCATTTTGATAGTCTGACTTTGTGCATCATTTTCATTATCATATGTAACATTATGCATCGGTATCACTTTCAGTTCATTTGTGAAACTAACTATGTTGTTGTTTGATTTTGTGCATCTGTATTATTTTCATGATCATGTTTTAACATTCTTATTTGCATCATTTCATATTAGATTTCATCCATGAAAATGTACATTTCATTCATGCATCAACGTATCATACATAAAGCATAACATAGCGTTTCTAATCATAATTATGTGCTAAAGGTTCAAGGATAACTCCATCTAGTGAGAACCCTGTCTATCGATATAACATAAGATCTAGAGCCAGACAAATGGAGCAAAAAATTCTCACTGATTTGAAAAACTAGAAAGCTTATAAAAGATTGAGAATGAGTTAAGTAAAATTTTGGATGCTTTCAACAAATTAAATAAGGGGAAAGGAGTATAAGAGAATACAAGCCAACAAGGCCCTGCATCGCAAGAAGTGACTGACCCCCTATACCCTTCAGGTTTTTGGTCCACCTCAAGCCCAGTCTGTACAAAAAGTTCCACCGTAACATTTCATATATCCTATATATCCTGGAATGCCATCAGCTTCAACCTAGGGCATTATCATAGCTTTGTAAATCTTGTCTTTACTGAAAAGACAGTAGAACCAATTTTTGATCTAGATGATTTGAAAGAGAAGAGAAAGAAAAGATAAGAGTGAAACTCAAGAAAACTCTAAAATTAGTATGCTAGAACAAAGGCTACGGGCTGTGGAAGGAATTGGTTTCTATGGTTTAATGGATGATGTTGGGCTTCGCTTAGTCCCTAATGTGGTTATTCCTCATAAGTTCAAAGTACCAGAATTTAAAAAATATGATGGCACAAAGTGCCCAAAAACTTATATTACCATGTATTGTCGAAAGATGACAGCTTATGCTCATAACGAAAAGCTACTAATGCATGTTTTCCAAGACAATCTTACTAGTTCTGCTGTTCCGTGGTATATCCAGTTAGACAAAAATCGCATCCGTTCTTGGAGTGACATGAACCATGATTGTATCAGTCAATATCGACATATCATGGATTTGATCCCTGATTGTTTGTCTTTATAAAACTTGAAGAAAAAGGCCAATGAGACTTTTAAAGAGTATGCCCAAAGGTGAAGGGATATTGCTTCTCAAATACAACCTCCTCTGACTGAGAAAAAAATTATAGTGTTATTTGTCAGTACTTTGAAATCTCTCTATTATGAAAAGATGATAGAGAATGTAACAAAGAATTTCGTCGACATGGTGATATCTGAAGAAATTATTGAAAGTACCATAAAAAATGGCAAGTTAAAAAGGGGAGAAACCAAGAAGGCATCAGAAAAGAAAGAAACTGAAGCTCAAGCTGTGAGCTTTGATAAATAACAATTCAGAGGTTATCAACCTTATCCACCCCAAGGTTACTCTTCGTACTATTTTACTGTGAATAATGCCCCATTCTACCCATACCAGTTAGTTTCACAATCACCTTATTCATCCACACACCGATCAATTTTTAGCTCTCAAGATCTTACATATAGCCTTAACATTCAAGCTCTTGTAAGAGCCTAAATTCGCTCTACTAACCCAGCAAGTGGTTCACAAGAACAACGAAAAACCTATATTTGATCCAATCCCCATGACTTATATGAAGTTATATCGAGAACTCTATAATAGCCATTTGATTGCCCCCAGCCATATAAAGCCACTTAAGCCACCCTATCCTAAGTGGTATGATCTTATAGCCCACTGCAACAACCACTATGAAATTACTGGCCATTCTAGTGAAAATTACACTGCTTTAAAACATAAGGTGCAACGGTTGATCAATGATGGAATGGTAAGTTTTGATCAAAGAGAAAGCACAACACCTGATGTTAGTGGCTCTGAATGACATCAAGACACATTGGTCCAGAAAGGGTCCCAGAAAGTCACAATGAACTGAGGGGCAGGATGTCAATAGAGATTCTTCACCTGATCCACATAGAAGGACAATTT